AGATAATTACTTAATTCAATTGTGTGAAATTTTAATCGAAATTAATGATCTCACACATATTTCTTCGGGTTAATCACTTAGTTGTTCCTTAATTTAAAAAAAAAAAAACTAGTCCTTTTAAAGTAACATACACTTTCAATGGTTGAAATAGATTTGTTTCTAAACGAAATACTAGTCGATTGATTCACTGAATAATTGTATTCAAATGATAAGTTTAATAACATTCGTTACATTAAGGAAAAAACAACTATCAGAAGGGGTTTTGTGGATATTATAGTACTTTTAATAGGTAAGATCATGAGTCAATTGAAGCTAGACCACCATGGAAAACCTGGAAGCATTAGACAGCCGTTACGTTGTATTCTGAGATTCCTCAGTAGTACGCATCCACGATCCCACCTCTCGAGATTCGAACTCAGGACATGGCTTATGATCTCAACTACTAAAAAAAACACAACTATGTATATTAAAATTGAATTGAAATATTAGAACGTTTATTATGCGCTTATTTGCATGAATAGTTTAATCAGTCAAATAATGGTTAACTTTCAGGAATATTAACCAAAATCGTTAATTATTATCTTACATACATATATATACTAACACTATTAATTGATAACGCTATTAACTCTCGTTGAGAAGCATAGGATGTCCACTATCATCTTCTACTTAATTCTGTCCTGAACAATCCTTTTCAGTTGTTTCTAATTGATATTCAACCTTTTCATGTATGCTTTCATATATAGGCACAGTGTGTTCTTTGGTCCTCCTCTTTTCTGGTTCCTCTCAGGATTTCATGTTAGTGCTTTTCTCATGATGCAGTTTGATGATTTCCACAATATAAGTTCTATCCACCTCTACCATATTTTCCTAGTTTTTTCTTTAGGTGGAAGCTGGTTTGTTCTTTCACACAGTAGACTGATGCTGATGATATCTGGCCAACGGATATATATATGCGTTCGTATGGTTATGACTTCTAAACTTATCAAATGTCAATTAGAAAGTTTGATTGATTCATTTAATGTCTCGATTACTATAACACTGATGTTGTTTGTAATGTCCAATAATTGTACACGAAATCATTTCATGCCTCTAAAAGTATTCAAAATACTGTAAAATGACTAGCGTTTCTATGGCGAATTCCAGTAAACTCTTCTTGTAAATGACTCATTTTTGTCTAAGTCAAACGCAGAAATGGATTTCGGCTTTGAAATAATTTCTACGATTATTCAAATCTCTAAAACTAGTTGTCGTCATACAAGAAACCTTGAATTTATAAACCATAATTAATATGAGAGTAAACATTGATCTTATTGGGTTATTATATTTGACACGTTAGGTTGAAAATCTTTCTGTTGGGATTTAAAGGAAAGGTATATTTTCTTCAATGATAGAAATAACTGCACATAGTTGATTGATTACTGAGTAGAGACCAATGTTATGTCTGTCTTTCCCGTTGGAATTGATCTAGTTCATTATAGAAATTGTAATGCGAACACCAATTATTCAACATTGCATGATTTCTTGAAATCTAAGGTAGATCAAGGTAGTTATCAGGAAACAGATTCTGTAGCTTAGTTTTTCAAACTGACCAATTTAATTCGGTCAGCGCTAAAACGTCTAGAAAATGGTCATTACACACAATGACCATTTAATTGTAAATATCTCGACATCATAGGTGTTCATTTACAGTTTAAATATCTTAACATCATTATCTTAGACTATGAAACTAGGTGACTAACATAAACCACCTTAGTCTTCATCTACTTAAAAAAAGATTATACACTTCAAAGGCATAAACCGATCAAATTTGTAAATATAATCGGTTAGTTTTTTTGGTTATGTAACATGTGTATCAAAAGTGAAGCGGCACAGTTTTAAGAGATAAAGAGAGAGAGTGAGAAAGAGGGAGAGAGAGGGGAGAGGGAGAGAGTGACTTATTCGTCTTTTTTTTCTATCTTACAAACCTTCTGTTATTAAATATGGATGAATTTTCTAATCAACATATATCTATATATATAAACTAAGGAAGTAATTGAGATTTCCTTTTTTTATATCAATGTCGCCAGCTGAATTGTTCAATATATATACATAGATACAAACCGTATTGTATTCAGTTAACCATTGTGTTTGGCTTCATTTTTTTGATTTTAGTAAAATTAACTTAATTTAAACAATTCATTCATTCAAACAATGAATAACATTCTAGTTTGTTCAATTTTCAATATTTATTTATTTATTTATTCACTTGTAGCATTCAAATGGCACCTGTATATGTTTTTAACTTTTTGTTTTATTCATTCTCTTTAAATTAGTACTATAATGAATCATTGATCATTGATGAATCGGTGTTAGATAGTTACTTATTGGCGGGAATAATCTGCACATACAAATCATTTCATATATATATATATATATATATATATATATATATATATATATAGACAATATATACACAGTTAATGATATGCATAAGCATATGGTTATATCAGCACACAATGGTGCATAAACATACATACATACATACACATATGTATATGATTATGTGTGTTTCTATGCACATCTATACACGATTGTTAACTCCATTCAGTTGTATATTATAAAAGAAAACTGTTTATATATATATAATCAGTGAGAATTTTTTTGGTTATTTTTTTTAATTAAATGCAACCAACCTGTCTTTTCTTTTTTTCTTTTTCTTTTTTTTCTTTTTTTTCTTATTTTCAACACGTAGACATAGTGAATAATGTATTGACATTAGAGCTTAGGTTGAAACCAGATGGTTACATGAATCTTTTTTTTCTTTTTTTTTTCTTTCGTAAGTGAATAAAAAACAATGAAAAAAAGTAGTTATCAATTACTGGGAAACTGTTAAGTAAATTACTAAAATTATGGACTCTGTATACACACATTCAGATAAGTCACTGTCTTAAATTTAGGAATAAATGATTTTACATACAGTTTATGGGTATCTATCTTAAATAATGAAAGAAAATGATAATGAGAAGGACTTAACATGCAAGACATTGATCACTACCCAGTGATCAATCAATTGTGATTACATCTCAGTCCTACAGGATGTTGGTCGCGGCCCAAATAGCTTAATGGTAACGTTTCTGACTGTGTAGCTGAATGACACGGGATCGAATCCGTCTGGGAGCACCAGTTTCGTCAAGATTACAGGTACACCTTGCTGACAAGTGCCAAGTAGCATGAAACCCGAGACCAGGGTTTCCTGTTGACCACCTCTAACCACCATCTTATCTCAATATAGTGCACGCAGTGTCGAGCCACCTAAACTAGTGACCACATTGCAACTTGATCGATAGCATTCGATCAGCACTAAGAAGGACTTGACACGCATGACACTGATCACCACTCAGTGATCAATCAATTGTGATAATAATTTTTTGTTTAACATTTAATATCAAATCAAGTTTGATCTACATTATGAAAGTAGATCATTTTCATGTTATTAGATGATCATCCATAATGATGATTGAAAAGATTCATATTGATGTATAATGTTAGAATTGAGCTGATATTAAAAAAAGTTGAGAAATTTTAGAGCTTTTTTGAAGTAGATCTGCTATAGTGAACAAAGAGACGAGTGAGGACAATCGGATGTACTTAAACCGAAAAATTATAGAATATTTCATTAAAATATGAGAATCATATAGTAAATAGTTAATTTGCAAACTATCAATCAATTGTCTCAATTTTCACCGTTCCTTCTGCAAATATCAATCCATCCTCTATGATTATTATTGTTCATGCATTTTCATACCGATAGAATCTCGTTCCTCTGCTTTCTTTATCGATCTTCTACTGAAATATATTCTCTGCCTGACATCGTTGTATATTACTTATGTGGATATAAGTAACCCACACCACACTGCTATATATATATATATATTTATTAATTAGTTATTGAATAATGGGATTACTGTACTTAAATATATATCCCATATTGTAAACTTTCGTTTGACACAAATTATTGTCATATATTTCACAGTCCGTCTTAGGTGATTGTTATTTAATAATTCACCTCTACAGAGTTCTCTATCGTTTATGGCTTGAGTGTATAAAAATTCTGATTTCTCATTTGTTTTGTGTTATGGTCTAGTAATTAATATAAGTAAACATATGAGTGTATGGAATATGATGATACATAATAGAAATTTATTTCTGTTTAATGTGTTTAACTACAGTCTAATTACTGGACTATAAAAAATAACGTTCTAAACTGATAGGATTACGGAAAATCTCGATCATTGGTTAAGGTTGTTTTTAATCAATCAATGTGTGCCACTGGTTAAATTAGAGGTTAACAGTCAGGTAAACATAAATTTGATGGAACTTATTATCAATAGCTTGTTCATGCCTTACGTGACAACGTTTAGAATTCTGAATTTGTAAGAGTTAGTGTATGAATATTTCTTATTTTTCTATGAAAGAGATTATTGTGGATATTATAGAAATTTTAGTAGTTAAGATCATTAGTCAATTGAAGCTAGATCAACATGGAAAACCTGAAAGCACTGGAAAACCGCTTCTCCCTGATGTGAAACTCCTCAGCAGTGCACATCCTTGATCCCGCCTCGCGAGGTCTGAACCCAGGATCTATCGGTCAAGACCACTGAGCCGGCCGGCATCCAACTGTGCTAATGTCCAACATCAACTGATCCACGAAATTGAGCGACACATCCACCATTGCTTTCAGTGAGTTATTATCTCACGACTATTAAAATTACTATAATATCTACAAAAACCGCTTCTGATATTAATATTTTATTGCTTAGGATTTATAAGCCTTACGAGTTCAGTGATATTGAGATTGGTTTATAAGGAATCAAAATTATCAAGACATTCAATCGTCAATTTATTAATTTTATTGAATAGTGAGTTTAAAAAAATGAAATATGGTTCAAATTTCTAGTAGATGACTGTAAATTTAACATAATCATGCTTTACAATTTGTTTATTTAATTACAAATTAGGTCAATGGTCAAGATCTTAGAAACGCAACACATGAACAGGCAATTCATGCTTTTCAAACAGCTAAAGAACCTATTATCGTGGAAGTTGCTCGTCGTGATCCAAACGTTGAACTATCACAAAAATCTGCTCCAAATTCAAATTCTGGTCCTGTAAACAGTTTGGACAATCAGAATAAATGTTCTGTTTCAATTCAAACTGATCCAAGTACAGCTGAGGCAACTTTAGCCGCAATGGCTGCTGCTGCATTAACAACTGAAGATATACGTACTGTACTTGGAATAAGACACCCTGGTTTGCCAACAAGGTATGTTATACTTTGCTGTTGTTTTTGTAGACAGGGAAAGCTTAATTAATTTGTTTATTTAAACACATAATTATTGATACAAGGAGGCATCGAATATATATACGTCTGAATTCCTCATTGAGTACTGCACGGGCATTCAATCTCAGGCAGGTGGTTTCCTTAGGGGGCCACTCCACCAGCCTTTCACCTAAAGGTCTAATTCACAAGACAATGGAGCATCGTGAGGAGATGCAGTCTCGTGGTAGTGGATGATCAACAATAGGTTTATACGCCATTCGTCGCCTCGGGATCCTGGAGAAAATGTCTACAATCGGTTTCGAACTATGGTTTTCCAACTCCCCCACGTGGATCCTAGCAAAGGCTGCATACTCATGGTCGTGTGCGAGCATTTCGAGAAAGAGAGCGGACCCTTCCCACTCTTGACCGCACCACGGCATTATTTATTACTTTATTTAGACTTTCCAGTTAACTTTAAATTTCACAAACTTTAATATTTACGCTTGATTTCATTCACCAATAATTATCAGTTAATCATAAGTTACACATTACTAGAATTTATTATTTATGAACCAGTAATAATAATAATAATATTTTATTGACTGTTTTAATTATTCATACCTCCTGATAGTGTTACTGTTTTTGAATGTTTGACCATAAAGTTGCACCATTCTGTTTTTCTGTTTCTTATCAGACAAGTTCATCATTTATGTTTCGCATCATTCTATAAAGTTTCTTCATTTATAATTGACCTTCCACACAATTTCCATATGATGACCTAATAACTGTTAAATAAGTTATTATCTAATCCCTTTTCCACAATGTTCTCAATGATTGAATGTATATAAGTTGTTAATAAATTAGATATAAATATAGAGATAGTATCTGGGTATGTGTGTGTGTGTGCATTCGCACATAGTTACTATTACCAGGTAAAATGGATCTTACAGGAATAGAATGTAAAAAAATTTTTTTTTACTTTGATAATTAAATGTTTTTTTGTTTTTGAAAATTTTACCCAAAAAATTAATTAAATTTGAAAATGGGAAGTTTCAATGAATTTGCAAAACTGTGTAAGCATTTTACAATATGCTTGGTAGATCACTGTATCACACTCGAGATAGTTGAACTTCACGATCATTATGGTCATTATGTTGAGTGTGATGTAGTTACTCATCATATATATTAGAAGACAGTTGCAGCATATTACAAAATGATTGAAGTTTGACTTGTAAACTATTGGATACCAGATCAGTCGTTTAGGGATATATAATAAAATTTAATTTCTGTGAATCGATTTGAAATTGAAATCTTAGGTTATTATTGAGATCAAGACTCGATCAATGTTAAACCATTATTGTTATTACTATTTAAGAAAGAAATTTAGGCACTTGGTGATAGTCTATACAAAACCTTTTATTTACCTAAGTTTTCTGTTAGTTTTTATTCACTAGTGAGTCGTGCCTATAACTTTCTGGGAAACGACGTTCCTTGTGAGATTTGACTATACTGATTAGTGCCAAATAGCACATCACCTTAGTTAAACAAGGTTCCCTGTAAACTACCTGTAACCATGTAATATCTCAATGTCTTTTTCTTAAATTTAAGTCCCTTAGACTAGTGGTCACATACGGATTTAATAATCAACCAAATATATAGAAAAATGCTGTCAAAATATTAGCATTGAATAATTGGCTTCATTAAAGTTGTTGTATCCCGTAGAGAATTATGAATGGTAACTTTGAGAACTATTTATAGACCAATATGATATTATATATTTCCTATTTTATAATTGTTAAGTAACTAAACTATTCATATTCGTAGCTTTATTTTCACCTGTAAACTATTATTATAAGATTTACGATTCCCGAGTTAAACTCAGTTTATCAATTACTGTTCCCTATATTCACAGTCACATTTGGCTAAATCTTGTACAAATGTTATTTTCTATTTTATGGTACAATGTAGTCAGTTTGTTTGATATATAAACCCAGTATATTTGAGAACTAATGATTCATATTGCAGAGGTTATTATTGGTGTTCTGAACTTAACTGGCTAGGTTAGGCAAAATGTTAGGACCAACAAGTGTTCTAGACTGCTCATACGAGTTTCGTGTGTCATTGCTCTGATCGATAATTCATTCCTCTCTAATTTGCGGAGATCAACACGTTCATATATATCAAACAGGGCATGTACGCAGTTATACGTTATAACAAAATTATTAATAATGAATTTTAATTTGAGGATTTTTCTTTTTTTCACAACTATAAATCAGTATGACATTTCAAAATTTACTTTAGAAGAATGTTAATTTCTTGACATTTATAGAAAGCTAGACCACCATCGAAAACCTGGAAGCACTGGACGGCCGTTTCGTCCTATTATGGGACTCCTCAGCAGTGCGCATCCACGAACCCGCTCTCGCGAGCGAGATTCGAAACCAGGACCTACCAGTCTCGAGCCGAAGCCCTTAACTGATAGACCATTGAGCTGGCATCCAACGGTGTTAATGTCTAACTTCAACCAATCCACGATTTTGATCGACCGTTCACCAATTGTCTTCAGTGAGATGATATCTCTACAATAGACCTGGTAGAACTCCACTGGCCACTGCTTCCCACTAGAACTCAAGGAAATATCTCTTGAAGTCTAGCTTCAATTGACTCATGATTTCAACTGTGAAAATACTAAATTCTCCACAAAACCCCCTCTGATTTATAGAAAGAACATTCTAAAGTTTCTTACATAACATAAGTTTACAATCATACTCAACTACAGACCAATTCAATAAATCTTGAATGTTAATTCATTCAGTTAGTGATAAGATTTATCCAATGATATAAACTTTGGCAACAAGATATTGATTATTATGTTATATTATTATATACTACAATGTTAGTACATCTTAGTCTTAATGTCAGATTGTTTTTTCTTGAAAAACCATTTACTATAGGGTTTTTTTTCACAGTGTAATATGTTTCCCTTTCCCCACCTCTCTCTCTCTCTCTTTCTCTTTGTCTCATGTATAATGTATTTCAAATTGTCTGTGAATTAGGTCAGGGTAATACAATGAGAATCTTTTGACTAATATCAAATATTCGTTGAAAAAACACCCCCTTTTTTTCTTTAGCTGTAAAGATGATAAATTAAGTCGGATTTTTTTTTCATAATAAATGTGCTTATTTCCATTATTACAACATTTGTAATCAGTATAGATATATAACTGATATCAGCCTTCAAGAGAGGAAAGGATTACAATAAAAAGTTTCTTCATTTTAAACTAATGTATGTATTATTAGAAGGGGTTGTGTGGATATTATAGTAATTTTAATAGTTGAGACCATGAATCAATTGAAGCTAGGCCACCATGGAAAACCTGGAATCACTGGAAGGCCATTTCGTCCTATGGTGGGACTCCTCAACAGTGCGCATCTGCGATCATGCCTCGAGAGATTCGAAGCCAGGACCTATCAGTTTCGCGCGCGATCGCTGAACCACTAGACCACTGAGCTGGTTAAACGCTCGCGAGCGAAACTGATAGGTCTTAAGTTCGAATCTCTCTAGGCGTGATCGTAGATGCGCACTGTTGAGGAGTTCCACAATAGGACGAACTGGCCTTCCAGTGCTTCCAGGTTTTCCATGGTGGTCTTGCTTCAACTCATTCAAATGATCTTAGCTATTAATGTATGTATGTTAAAATATTTGTAAAGATTTCCATTATTGGTATTACGATCTGTAATTAGACAGTCTTTTCTTTTTTAAACATGTATACTTCCTGAATAAGTTATCTTGATATTGTTAATTGGTCACACGTTTGAGCAAGGTTGTATATACCAAATGATACTAATCAGCTGTAATCTCTGATATTAACAGCGAAAAATGTACACTATTACCTACAAATCTTGTGCTCAATTCATATGCTAGTGTCTATATGAACTCACTAACTTAGGGACTCACGGATTAATGTTTTAGATAGAAGATACTGAGTTTCGGTCGAGCTGTGAATATCTACATTAGGATATAAGTAGATCCAGCTGACAGATCTTAAAGACGATGTAACATGCATCCTAGATTTCACTGCTAGTGATTATCCAGCTTTATTAAAAACAATCCATATATGTTAGTAAATTGACAAATGATTGTGTTCTTCATTAAATAAATTCTTAACAAAAACATAACAGTTCAGTTTGATCTATAGTTTGAATATGATCCTGTTTGTTTAGTTAGTTGATACTATTCTCCTATATACATAGTGTACGACTTGAAGATAAGTATAAGGTTAAATAAACAAGCTTGGAAAGTATTATAGTCTAACACTTAATTTAACATCAATGATGTTCAATCATTGGAATGATAATGAAAGCTTCCTCCAGAAATTTGTCTAAACTTTATCATTCTAAATAATGTAATGAAAAACTTCATTATCTGTATTTATCTTCATTTTAATAGTTTGGAGTGTATCTATCATCCGGAATTTCCTGATCTTGTGGATATAGTTGAAGAAGACGATGATGATGAGGATGATGACGACGATGATGATGATATTGACGACGATGATGATGTTGACATCGATGGTGATGATGATGAAGTTGATGAACAGGATAATAATAATAATGACAGAGTGAAAGAACCTATTACTTCGTCTAACATGAACTGTGATCCGAGATCAGTGAACTGTCCATGTTTTTCAAATGACAACATAAAATATGATGAAATATCAGATATTCAAAATAAAAGTATAACATTCAAAGAAGAAAATGATAGTATCATTTGGGAGATGGGATTTAGTCAATCAGAAAATATATTGATTAAAGTAAGTAGTTTGACATTATCGTTGCTAGTACATTTTTTTCTGTACTAATGTGGTGTGGGTTACTGATATCCACATAAGTAGTATATGGTAATGGTCGGGCATTTAATGTATTTCAGTAGAAGATCGATAATGAAGGAACGGAAACGGCACACAAGTGGTACGAAAATGCCAGAACAATTATAATCGGACACTATGAACGGATATTTACAGAAGAAACAGTCAAAATGAGACAATTGATTGTTATTTTGCAAATTAAGTGTTCACTATATGGTTGTCAGATTTTAGTGACATAGTCTGTAATGTTGTCATTGATACGTTCTATTGTCCCCACTGGTGTTCTTGTTCACTAAACTAGTACTACATATAGAATATCACAAAATAACCGTTTTTCATCAAGATTTTAATTTTCCAAGTTAAGTTCAAAATATATCACGAATTGACTGTAGTAAAAGAAATTAACCGCTAGATTACATATCAGTAGTTTAACGATATCGTTCTTACTATAAAACTTGAATATTATCGATTCAACATCGTGCAACAACTTAGAAAGGTATTGACGATTAATCTGTAACTACAGCAACATGACTATTCTGTGTTCTCAGATTATCAATAATACTCCAATTACAGATGTCACTTCAAAACTATCAATCAATAAACGATATCTTTATGAATTCAAAAACTCTACAGGTGATCATTCATGATACTTTAAACCATGAATTTAACTAATAAAATTTCATCATATTCAATACAAAAAATCTCTTTGGCTCCATTATACCTAAATTTAAGCAGTAAGCATATGTGATAATGACTTTATATTTAAGCTCTAAACTTAAATCACTATACAAACTACAGAAAGTCAGAAGTTACTGAACAATTGTTTTGTCCATGTATAGGACGTTCCAGTCATACTCATATAAATAAATCTATCAGGTGTCAAACCTAGAACCATTCAGCCATATCGAGGGTGTTTAACAATCGTCTGTCACTTATTTCATCTAAATAAAAAAGCGACTTTCATTAATATTCATTACCATGTTTTATGATGAAACACTACCTTGATATCATTTAGGTGATTTTCATACTATACATTATGTATAACACTACTACTACTGTAGGGAATAAGAACACGAGTGGGGACAATCGGATATATTTAGACGCAAAACTACAGATTATCTCAGTAAAATATGAGAATCATACAGTAAATAGTTAATTTGCAAACTATCAAACAATTGTCTCAATCTCGACCGTTCCTTCTGCAAATATCAGTCTATCGTCTCCAATTATTATTGTTCATGCATTTCCATATCAATTGCATTTCATTCCCGTTCTTTCAATATCGATCTTCTACTGAAATACATTCAATGCCCAATCACCGTTATATACTACTTATGTGGATATAAGTAACACACACTAAGCTACATACTATTATTATTATTATTATTATTATTATTATTATTAATTGTACGAATTTTAGACCAGCCTAAATTTACCACCCCCCATTAATCTTATTCTATTTGTAATTATCATATATATTAAATGTTTTAAACGAAAAAAGTAAATCAAATCAATGTGTATAAAGAAAGTTTGTATCTAGGGGAAAGAAATTAAATTTATTTTATATAAGTAGAGATAGAATTTTTTCCCATTTACGTAACGGAAAAACAAAATGATGGTAATGTAATGATTTCAATTTATAAGTTAAGGATTATTGAGATAGCTCAATCGCAATACAATTTGAAATGAGGTGGATTCTACTTGTAATCTTGAGGGAACTGGTACTCCCTGACAGATTCGATCCCGTGTCGACCAGCTTCACAATCAGAGATGTTACCACTGATCTATGTGGGCCGCAACCGACCTTTTGTAGGACTGAGTTGTTATCACAATTGATTGATCACTGGGTGGCGGTCAATGTCATGCGCGTTAAGTCTGTCTTAGTGCTGCCGACTATCTGATATTATGGCATACCGAACGTGATGTTGTGTTACTTGGATTAGTGGTCAGATTATAACTTAATCACTAGTGTATTAAGAAGACGAAGATTATCAGGACGATGTGATATATTAGTGTAATATATTTCGAACAATCTGATCACAATCAGAAGGGGTTTTGTGGAGATTTCAGTATTTTTCATAGTTGAAATCATGAGTCAATTGAAGGTAGATCAACATGGAAAACCTGGAAGCACTGGACGGCCGTTTCGTCCTATTGCGCGACGTTAACACTATCGGGTGCCGTCTGGCTCAGTGGTTTAGTGGTTAAGAGTTCTGGCGCGAGACTGGTAAGTCCTAAGTTCGAATCTCGCGAGGTGGGATCGTGAATGCACACTGCTGAGGAGTCACACAATATGACGAAACGGTCATCCAGTGCTTGTTATAGTAAAGTGAGAAGATTTACACACATATGAACTTTCCAATGTTGATTGTTATTAAACCAAATCAATCATTGACATTATGAGAATGAGATTGTGGAAATTACGGAAGTTTAACTTTAACATCAACAGATCTCGACTGAATGATATAGATCTAAGTTGTAGGATAGTGTTGCAATGTTCACTACTGAGGTGTTTCATATTTTTCGACGAAACCTATATTTGTTTAAAAACCCCCATCATATTAAAAGTCTAATATATTGAATGAATAATATTCTTTTCGATAAATTTTCATCAAGTTCTACGATTCATATATCCAAATTATTAATCTGTAAAAATGGACAGGTTAAAGCCAATGTACATCGTTTAAAGCATGTAAATTTAGGAATATCAAATCAAATAGAATAAAATTGTTAATGTTGATATTGACTCATGTAGAATGTTAACTTGTAAGTGCAAATTTAATATCCATGATCAGAATAGATATGGATCAGATAGGGTGAGAGAGATACGATAGTGCAATTACAATTCGATCAAGTGGAAGAATAAATTGTGTGAAAAATTAGTGAGACGTAATAAGTAGGGATCAATGTGAAGTGAATGAATCATGTCTATGGGGGATTAATAATGATGTTTAATTAATAATAATAATAATAATAATAATAATAATAATAATAATAATAATAATAAGTGGCTATCAGGACTCAGTGGCCGAGTGGATTACGCTATGGCGTTTGAAGCGAGGGTACTGGGTTCGAGACCCAGAGTGAACATCAACTCTGAGATGCAGGTACATCCAGCTGACGAGTCCCAAATAGGACGAAACGCACGTCCTGGATTCCACTGGTAGCCACTATCCATCTCTGCTAACCATGCTTGTGAATTAAGGTATATCGAGGCAATACGCACAGTATGCACATATCCCAATTAGAGACTGACCAGTTGAAGTCCTAACAAATCAATGGGAAGATTCAAACAAACAATACTAAGTCGAATTTAATAATAATAATAAATGCAAAGATTTGTGAATAAAGATAATAGAGACAATTTTGTTTGACTAAGAAAGGTTGTAAGTACATAGTCAAATTAGGTCATCCAATAGCTAAGATTACTATTTATTAATTGACCTTGTGATTGGCCAAGGGAGGATCAGGGGTTGGAGATATTTTTTCTATACGCATAGCTTCGGTTTCTTCATCCTGATTGCCTATATTCAATACGTCTTACTTTTCAATAGTTATCTCACTTAATTCCCTTCTTGATTTCAATAATATCTACTTTAACTTGAACCAACTGTAATAACAGTGTTACATTTAGACAGAAACATTGATATCATTGAGTAAGATTACACTATATCATACATCAATATATATCAAATGTACTAGATCTTGGATTGAAATTATTTTTCAATGAGCTTCAAATGACTCATGATTTCAACTGTGAAAAATACTAAATTCTCCACAAAAAACCCCCTCTGATCTATAATCATATGCTCACTAGTGACTGACTTCAAGAGATATTTCCTTGAGTTCTAGTGGGAAGCAGTGGCCAGTGGAGTTCTACCAGGTCTGTTGTAGAGATATCATCTCACTGAAGACAATTGGTGAACGGTCGATCAAAATCGTGGATTGGTTGAAGTTAGACATTGACACCGTTGGATGCCAGCTCAATGGTCTATCGGTTAAGGGCTTCGGCTCTCGCTCACGAGAGCGGGTTCGTGGATGCGCACTGCTGAGGAGTCCCATAATAGGACAAAACGGCCTTCCAGTGCTTCCATGTTTTCGATGGTGGTCTAGCTTCAATTGACTCATGATTTCAACTGTGAAAAATACTAAATTCTCCACAAAACCCCCTCTGATCTATAAATAAAATAAACAATCCCTAATACCCAGTAGTGATACAATGGAATTACATATACATATATACATAGTTAAAAGGGAAAAACTATAATTCATAATGTCCAATCTTTTTAATGATTGTACCATTCATCATTGGTATAGATAAAATAAGGGAGTGACGCCAGTTGTTTTTTTAAAATTTCAGTTTGTTATTTTATTTAATCTTGAATAATAAAACAAACAAAAATATTTATCATTGATGTTTTTATTTGGTTCCTTTTTTTAAAAAAAAATAAAAAAAAATTGATCATACTACTAGTATTATTATTATTATTATAAATAGTAATGATAAAACTCAAAATCTATTTGATATATAAAGAGAATAGAATACTACCGTTGATTTAGATATTGTTGCTGTTTTATTTTTTTTTATCTCATCTAATATGTGTACAGTTGTAAGTAGTGAGTAAACAACCAACTATTATAATTACAAATGATGGTGGTAAGATGGATAGTGGCTAGCAATGGAATCCAGTTTGACACGTGTTTCGTCCTATTTGGGACTCGTTACCCTGGGACTCGAACCCAGTACCGTCCGATTTAAACGCCATCATGTTATCCACTCAGCTACTGAGTCTTGATAGCCACATGCTTGTGTAGTGGGGTGGAGTTTAAATTCACTTGTATTTGTTTACTTTTATCTTCCCATTGTTATTTACGACTGCAAATGATCAGTCTCTTGTTGGCATATGTGCATCCTGTGTGGACTGCCTCGATATTGCCCGAAGTCACTATTCATCTTTGTTTATAAAGGTAATATTGAGGCAGTCCGCATAGGATGCACATGTGCCAACGAGAGACTGATCAATTGCAGTTCAATATAACAATGGGAAGATACACGTTAACAACACCAAGTTAATGTTGTTGGTAAGGTTACTGAATATGAGTGTTAAATGTAATCTATAATAAAAGTAAATTGTGGAAAGTAAACATAATTTTTGATTACATATATATTTATAGATGTTGTATGCATGATGTTTGATAGAAGCCTGATATCAGTCATAATGTTAATGGTTCCTTGAACTAGGGTACATTAGTTTCCTTTTCATTCACATATCAATAAAACCGATAGGGAAAGTTGAGTATACTTAATTCCGGAATTACTGTCATATATGTTTAGCGTAAACTTAATCTTCACCTCATATCAGTTTTACTTTCTTCCATAAGTCGTCCAAAGTCAATGTTTCCTATATTGAAGTATCATGAAGTTTTATATGATTATGAAATAATCAAATAACATCATAACCACTAGTCTATGTAACTTGATGTTATGATGTGTTTTATTGCTATTAAAAGTAGTTAGTGACTGTGGTTAGGAATTGCTTCTGATTACACCAATAATTTAGCTAAGTTTAAGGTCGGTTTAAATTCGGAATTTCACTGATAAATAAGTTTGATTCATTTCACTGTTCTTAAATATCTCACTTGTTGATTAGAATTTAATAAATTATATGGTAATAATGAATAGAAGCACAACATATCATATTGTATCTCTCTTCAAATATATGATGGCTATCTCACTAGTGACTTACTTTCATATATTCTAGACGTTCTGGTTAATGATCAGGAATGGGGAAGTTTAGATTTGTTAGGAGTACAACAATTGCCACCAATGTTACTGAATAACTATCTCTCAAAATAAAATAATAATAATAATTGAAGTTGAAATTATGTCAGTGAACGCTGGTTCACTGGTTTTAGTTGCTAAGTGTTCGCAGTAAATACTGAAGGAATCAAGTCTGATCACTGGTTCGATTTCTGTCTCCATACTTCTGTAATGCTTCATACTAGGAGAAAATATATGTAAGTTGCTCTTCAACTATTAGTAGTATTTCAAATGAAATCAATCTCTGATAAATATAAACTTATATTTAATCAAATAATCCTATTCTTCTTTTTTAAAAAATAGGAGGTTACTTTGTGTCGTAAAAATCCAGATGAAAAATTTGGTTTAACTCTTTGTTATCGACAGGGTGATACATCCAATACTAGTTGTAATGTTTATGTTGGTGAGGTAAGTCTAAATTGTTCTACTTATTTAAAAACTAACATTATTATTATTATTAGTAATAAAATAATTATTATTGTTTATGGAGTAATGTTGAGAGTTAACAAATCGAAAGTGCCTCTCTCACTATCAACACATCATGCACCTATATTCAATATGTTGATAACAAACTTCACATTAATAAAAAGATCTTCTTGAGAAATTTCTCTAAACTGATAAATATTTTCAAAAAAGATTTTTTTTGTGGAGATTTTAATAACTATAATAGTTAGGATCATGATTCAATTGAAGCTTAACCATCATGGAAAACCTGGAAGTACTTAACGGCCGTTTCTTCTCATTGTGGGATTCCTAAGCAGTGAGTATTCACGAAGTTAGACATTAACACCGTTAGATACATTATGTCTAACATATTTGATGTTTATTTTCACAATAAGTTAAATTGTTACAATTCTAATAACTTCAAAAGAAAGCATACTTGAACTAGTATACCATATATAATAATATTATTGTCTTTATTGGATAAGATTATAGTGATCAAACATTTATTGGTAAAGTAGATTTCTTTCTAGATATTTAATAATGATCAGTAATAAATAATAAAACAGTCTAGGTTTAGTATTTTACTTTCTTTCTGTATTATAAAGTTAATAATATTTAGAATTCTTATTGAAAATCAATTTAAATCATAATCGATCGGATCTCAATTGTTAGAGATTGTACTTTTTATTGATCGTCAAATTTATCTTCATTGTCATATTACTTACGTCATATTTAATTTTCAAAATTCCTACTTTTAAATGTTGTCATACAAATAGATGTTTGATGTATATGGGCGATTACATTTTATAGTTTATCATTGATTTTATGAGTAATTCCAAACTGATTATGTTCATTTGTATTTGTAATTAATTACTTGCTTATTTACTTACTTACTTACTTACGCCTGTTACTCCCGATGGAGCATAGGCCGCCGACCAGCTTTCTCCAACCCACTCTGTCCTGGGCCTTCTTTTCACTATTTGTAATTAATTAATGAACTAAATATAATAAGTAGAATAATACCTTTAATCAATATCAATCTGAAATCTCTAAGGTTCATAGATTTATTAATGTTAACAATTAATCGCAATAATTATCAAGTTAACTAATGAAATCAAGTGGTAACAAGATCGTTCATTCTTCAATAATGAACAGAAAATGATAATTGTTTAGTAACTAACTTAAATATATAATATAATATTCCGTCATAAGGTTTATCAATTTAATTTCTTGAATAATAAACATATAAACTATCAGATCCATGATGAATGTTTTGATCTAGGATAATCAAATAAATGTTGATAGATCTGTTGCTCAAATAACTGATAATGAACAAATTCCTACTTCTGAACTTGAGTTCTGAATGGTAGAGTGAAAGAGAGAAGTATGCAGAAAAGCTCTTTTTCGGAGATTAGTCTATCTATAGAAAAAAAAACAAGAGTATTTACAGATTTATAAGTACCTTTGATAGTTTAAAAGAGCCTAGAAAAATGTTAAATTTAGTGACAAAATAAACAATTATCCAGTCAATATGTTATACATAATCTACTTTATTTTTGGGAACTTTTAAAGGATTCCCATTGACCTCCGGTTAGTCATAATTTTTCAAACTTTTTCCTAGCTTCTGTAAAATTCTCAAAAATTTTCAATAAATGCTAGAGGTTAAGTGCTCGCAAGCGAGATTAATAGGTCCAGGGTTCGAATCTCGTAATATGAGATCGTGGGTGCGTACTGTTGAGGTGTCACACAATATGAAGAAACAGTCATCTAGTGCTTCCATGTTTTTCATGATGGTTTAGCTTCAATTAACTTATAATCTCAACTATTGAAATTACTATGATATCCACAAAAGCCCTTCTAATATTAAATGGTAATAATTAAAAAGTAATTTATAATAATAAGTGGATAATCTTGTTAATTCAATGAATTCAACTGATGATAATTAGTCTTTAACTAAACTTAGAATTCTTTATTTTTAATCTTTCAAAGAATAAATATTTATATCTATCACCTAATATAGTTTCCCTTAAATCAAGATGTTTACTCTTTTATATATTTCTGACAAGTTTATATTTAATTGAAGCTGTCAATTGTATAAAAGTTTCTTGTCATAATTGTTTTACAGTTTAGGTCTCTGAAGTTTTATCGATTTATATTGATGTATATGGAATAGATCCAGTTCACTTAAATTATAATTAAGTAATTAGACTATAAATAATTGTTATATTTCACAGTTTAGATTCTTAGTATGTTGCGTAATACTTGAGCACTGGAACTCTAGAACCCTCCTAAGTCACAAAATCAAAAGACAGAAGACAATTAGAAGGAGTTTTATTCCAAACAGTGTCAATTATGGTACAAAACTGTCAGGTATTTATAGTTTTTAGCAAAAACGAAATCATTATAGTTATCCGATCCGCACACAGGGAGTTATCGGCATTGTCCTATAAGAAAGCTACACGTAGTGATTCTAGAATATTCTTCCAATAGCTGATTGGATGGAATATGTTCGGCTTCTTCTGGGCTTCTTAGAGCTTCCTCGACTTCACCTGTGGACCGTCCTCATAATAATATATGTAATGAGAAATATAAATTCAGATTATTCACTGAGAGTACTAATGAATGTGATGACTTCATATTTCTTTAGCTGTGAATTAATTCTCTTGATTATGTTGTCAGTTAAGTTACCAGTCTAAATGAATTCATATCGTGGATACTGTTTTTTATGGTTGTTGGAAACTGATAGGAACTTATGGTATAAAGTTTTACACTAATTAAGACATGTCAGTAATTGTGATAATAAATTTGTTTTGCTAAAACTAGTGACTACATTACAGCTTGGTTGACGAAGTTTTACTAAGACTCAGAGCTGGTGTAAATATTTCATTCTAACATGAGTCTAATAGCTGGATAAATATCTTCTCAGATATATTCTTAACTGTGACAATAGGTCAAATGGATTTGAACCATACAAGATGCATTAGCTGCTTTAAGATCACAGATACTCTTTATTGATGAGTGGTAAACTACGTATAACCAGTTTATACTGTCAGTGAACATATCATGTTGAAAGTACCGGTTCTCATCCAAAAAAAATTCATTTGAACTCCATAGAATCCTATCAACTAGATTATTATTATTATTATTACGAATTATATAACTAAGAGTATTATTATTTAATTCACTTAGTATTGTTTGTTCGAATCTTCTCATTGATGTTTAGGACTGCAATTGATCAGTCTCTTATTGGCATATGTGCGTCCTATACGGACTGCCTCAATATTGCCAGAAGTCATAAGCTTTATAAACAAAGATGGATAGTGGCTAGCAGTGGAACGCGTTTCGTCCTATTTGGGACGCGTCAACTGGATATACATGCATCTCAGAGTTGATGTTCACTCTGGGACTCGAACACAATACTTTTCGCTCCAAACGCCATCACTGTTATCCACTATCCATCTTTGATCATTATTTAATGTTAATGATTAAATAATCGTTTTTTTTCTTTTTTTTTAATAGTTAGAATTAAATAGTTTAGCTGAACAAAGTGGACAAATTTATAATGGTGATCAAATATTAAGTATCAATGGTAATAGAATCAAATCAAGAGAACATGTTATTGATTTATTTCAACAAAGTCAATTAAAAGTAATTTTATTAATTGCACGTGAAAAAATCAATAAACATAATAATAATCAATTAATTAATAAAAATTTAATGATCAATACAATGAAATCAATGAAAATAATCAATAATCAATCAAATTATTTAATAGAAAATTCAAATTCTATCAATAAAAATTGTTCAGATTATCCTGTAAGTTTTTATTTTATGAATTAAAAAATTTTTGTTGTTGGTTTTTTTGAGTTAATTGAAGCTCGACCACCAGGGAAAACCTAGAAGCATTGGAGGTCATTTCGTCCTATATTGGGACTCTTCAGTAGTGTGTGTCCACGATCCCGACCCGCAAGATTTGAACTCAGGACCTATTAGTCTTATGCGCGAGCACTTAACCATTAGACCACTGAGTCAACCGGCATCCAATGGTGTTAATGTCTAACTTCAACCAATCTACGAAGTTGAGCTACCGTTCACCAATGTCATCAGTGAGTTGATATCTCCTAATAGACCTGGTTTGAACTCCACTGGTTACTGCTTCTCACTAAAATACCTCTTGAAGCCAGTCACTAGTGAGCATATGATCATTATCAGAAGGGGGTTTTGCGAAGATTTTAGTAATTGAAAATGCAAAAACTCGTGTGAATAAAATGCATAGTATGAGAATTCCATCTTGTCAACTGAGATAACAATGATAAATAGTAATAGCAATAATAATATTTTTGCGTAAATATAATACGTAATAGGAGGGTTGTTATCAAGGTAATTACGACAAACGAATTAGGAATGATGGATGTGGAGAATAAGATAGAGGTAATCAAAACAAGGGTGAGTAAGAGATTTATAATATTCAGTTTAGGTATCCAATGATCCGGTAGTAGGTCAAGGTAAACATAGAGGCTGCATATACCTTTTCCGGATACATAAGTTTGGTTTTTTGAAGTTGATCCAGATGGTTTCGGCTATGTAGGGTAACCGTAATCTAGCTCCTTTAGGATGATTTTTCGGGACGTGATATAAAAAAGAGAAAGCTTCCTATATTTTGATAGGACATTCACCACCGACTAAGTGAGAATAATGGGACTGTCAATACATATAGATGTCATGAACACGCGGCTTAGATATCTAAGCAGATCACCATATTTCTCCTCCTCTTACTCTCTTATTCACTCACTATGGTCCACCAGGGTGCTTGGTACCTGTGTGGTTACGCCACAGGATTGAGCTGTACTGTTCGGCTTTGAAGCCCATATAGTGTTTGGTTCTCCTATGGGGCAGGATTGAGCTGTACTGCTTGGGCTGTCGCATGAAAGTCTGGATGGTGTGTGGTTCTCCTGAAAACCAGTGCAAAATTACTCTGGCCCATAAAGGTATATTATATAACTGAATATAGTAATTGTTACCACACCACATATATACTTCCTTTTTTCATACAATAAAAATTTATTCAATATAAGTCTACTATTTTTTCTTTTCATTCATGTTTTCTATTCAATCAGTATTTTTCATGCCGATTGATTTCATTTATATATCAACTAACGTAGAATTCATGATTGGTTTTCAGTTAACTGTGGGGGGGGGGTTGTTTTTTTCTTTTTTGTTCTCGTTTATTACTGATAACCAATACTACTGATATTATTAATCATCATCTAATTTCTCTACATCTATGTAAAAACGAATAGAATGATTATTGACTTTCCGTCAAATGTCAGAACCATTATTATTATTATTATTATTGTTTTACGGTATACTATCTGTTTAGGGTTTACGAACCAGTTTGTAGACGTATCAGGAAATGATATTTTTATGACTCACCTAATTGTAATATCTATGGTGAATATTCATTTTTAATTATGATCATATATAAACACATAGATACATATATACTTGATATACTGATGTATATAGACATGAACTTAGTAGATTATTGCCAAAATAGTAAATATAAGATCGAATCATAAAACGAAAATTTGAAACATAATTATATTCTAAGCAAAAATGAATTGAGTGTAGCAGTGGAATCCAAGACATGCGTTTCGTTCAATTTTGGACAAGATGAAATAGAGTTTTTCTTCATACAAATCTAATATCTAATAAAAATGATATTTTCATAGTTGAAATCATGAGTTAATTGAAGCTAGACAACCATTGAAAACCTGGAAGTTCTGGAAGTTAATATAATATCCACAAAACCTCTTCTGATAATAATCAATATATGTTCACTAGTGACTGACTTCAAGAGGTATTTCCTAGAGTTTTAGTGAGAAGCAGTGACCAGTGTAGTTCAACTAGGTCTGTTGTGAGATATCAACTCACTGAAGACAATTGATGAACGGTTGCTCAACTTCATGGATTGGTTGAAGTTAGGCAATAGCACTATCGGATGGCGGCTCATTGGTCTAGTGGTTAAGTGCTCACGCACGAGACTTGTAGGTCCTTAGTTGGAATCTCATGAGGCTGGATCGTGGATGTATACTGCTGAGGAGTTCACATCAGGACGAAACGACCGTCCAGTGGTTCCAGGTTTTCCATGGTAGTCTATCTTCATTTGACTAATGATTTCAATTATTTAAATAATGAAATTTCCACAAAACCCCTTCTGAAAAGTGGTATTATTATTATTATTATTATTATTATTATCAAGATTACAGCTGAGGGATAAACATTACAGAATATCTTAATAAAAACAAGAACCATACACTGAATATTTCATTTGCGAATTCCCAACATTCGTGTTTTACATTCTGTATGATACTTCCAGTCCACAATTGCTAACTGTTTCCCCTTCTTTTTTTTAAAAAACTCGTTCTTTTTAGCCATCTGCTGCCACGGTTTCTACTACCGATTGATATTACATATTACTTATGTCCATGGACATAAGTAGCAGACACCATAGTACTACATTAGGCGCTAAACATAAATCGATTCAATAATTTATTTTATGTTTAATACAAAGTAGCTAAAGAAATTAATACGCAGTTATAACTGATAATCAATTTTTGTCAGCAAAATCTAAACTGCTTTAGAAAGAAGAAAATAATTATTCATAACCATAGTTCACATATCATCAAGCTACACTGTTTGTATTACTTTCTAGTTTTACGAGCTAGTAAAGTTTTGGGTATGGAGTATTTATTGTGATCCTCGACTACATCTTCAAAAACGAATTCATGTGGAATGATTAGAATGGGGGTTTGTGGAGATTATGGTAATTTCAATAGTTGAATTTACGACTCAATATAAGCTAGATCATTATTAAAAACCTAGAAACACTGGACAACTGTTTTGTCCTAGTATTTGACTCCTTAGCAGCGCGTATCTATGATTGGCAAACAACCTATTGTATAAATGAGTTATTTACAATTGAATAATCACTGAGTACTGATCAAAGTCGTGTTTGTCTGATCTTTTTGGCATTGATCTGGTCTTATTGATCGATTTACAATGTGACAACTATTATAAGAGATTCGACATCGTGTTCAGTATGCTGAGGGCTAGGGTGATTGGGAATAGATGATAGGTAATAATAATCGAGCTAATAAATATATATCCTCAACGTTTACCTACAATATGCTTGGATTATTCACTTTTGTCTAAATATCTTGGGTGCTGCTTATGATCTTTTTCACTCCGTTTTTTACTGGTAGACGTCGTTCATGAATAATGGCGCGTTAATTATACATATGAATATCCTTTAATTCATGAATTAGCAAAAATATCGAACATCTTGAATGCATCAATGTAACTTATTTCAAAAAAGACAAGCTATGTATGCATATTCATAAAATACAACAACCTCTTATTCATTATTACTGATTGTCCAATAGTTAAAATTAAATATTTGTTGAAAGTTGATAAAAACTTTCTGAAAATTCAAGGAATCCTGAGGAATAATATGAGAAAGTAGGGTATAATAATAATAATAATCTACCCTGATGTTTACAAAACGTATTTTTATAACCTCAGCTCAAGTCCTAACTAAATACATTACTTATCTGATAGATAAACATAATTTTACATTCCTTTATAAGTTAATAATAACATGAATTATTAGATAATGCTAAGATTAATTAATTAATTTCGTAGATTGGTTGAAGTTATACATTAACACCGTTGAATGCTGACCGGCTCAGTGGTCTAGAGGTTAGGCGTTCGTGCGCGAGACTAATAGGTCCTGAGTTTGAATCTCACGAGGCGTGGTCATGGATGAGCACTAATGAGTAGTCCCATACTTTAAAATTAACCATTCTATTATTGTCTGTGATATCATTAATATTATGTTCACAGTCAAATTAAGTTGATACAGATGCTCAATTGTAATATCTTGGACTGTAAAAATGAATGAAGTACTATCAAATCTTACTGGACAAGGCATTATTTTCTCAAAGACTACAAGTATACTTCATTGATGGATATAAATAAGTAATACACCTATGTCAAACAGGTTTTTCTACAGACTATTTTCAACTATTTGGCTGACGAATAAGAAGTGATTGCTCCCCGATATATAAATATTCGAGTATTACTAAGTGAGACGAAAGATAATGTTTAATCTCAGTCGACCAATAATTTCTTCAATCATATTAGTGTATAATATATTTTTCCGTTTCTTACTTCTTGGTCGACCCTGACGATAAATATTAAGTGATCACTAGTTAGAAGTTAGCAGTCTAATAAATCGATATCTAAATAATGTACACTGTTTTGTCTGCATATTGCCAGCAACCACGATATCTCTGATCAGGCCTTTTGTAACTTGTACAACAAAAGGTTGTACACTTTTCAGAAATGCACCTGAATAGGTTATGCGATTAATAGTCATAATGATATATTAAAACAAACAAAATTAGATAACTTATTGAAATATCTAGATGGCAGGAACAGGTAGCCCTTATGTTCGAGCAGGTTGCCATACTAATTCACAAGTCACCTTCCAAAAATTATCCACAAAACTATTTTATCAAATTAAAATTATTCGTTTCATCATAAATTATGGTTTGATTGAAAAAAACACATTCATTTATTGGCAAAAACAAGATATCCTTAGATTAAAGATTTAGTATAATCAGTTAAGTTTTAATGTGACCAGTAAACTGAGTGATTAGAAATCGGGTACATAATCTTGAAATATCAGACGGTTTTAAAGATAGTCAATAGAAGACTCGGCGAGACTAAACTATATGGACGAGCCAATCAGA